GAGCTGCCTCAGCCTCATGGAGGGGTCGGAGGTAAGGTCGGCCAAGGTCACAGGTGGCTCTGGCATCCTGCTTTCTCATGAGCTGACCTGGATACCCTCAGGACCTTGTCACATCCCACCTGTCCCTTCCATGCAGAGCCCTGACCCAGCTGAGGCTTAGAGCCTGGCTGAGGGCAGAGCAGCTGTGGCCCACAGAGGCTAGGTCCCATGTCCCCTGAGCCATGCTGTCCCCTCCAGGGTCAGGGGCTTGATATTTCCTTTGCCTTGTCTCTTGCTGAGCTGCCCAGGGTCTTGGGCTGGTCTCAAATCTGTCCCTTGGCCTCCAGGACCCCGCCCCCTGTATCCCCACTCCACCCACCCCATTCTGCCTCTAGGGGTGCAGAACTATCCGGGGGCTCTGCCACTCTGACTTCTGCACTCCAGGGGTCCTTGGTGAGTCCTGCAGCTGGCTGAGCTGGCCTGAGTGTGTCCCCCAGCATCCGGTCACAGGGATACCTATGGCCCCTTCCATCCACAAGGACCCGGTATCTTACCCAACAAAGTCGTGGGGAAAGTGACGCATCGGGGGACCCACTTTGGGTGACAGAGGCTCCTGGGAGAAGCATGTGGCAGTGGTCACCTCCGTGGGGGCCCCGGGCCAGCAGGGTGCTGTGTAAATCAGCAGGGTGCTGGGCCACCCGCAGGGCCCAGCCTTCGGGCCCAAAGTCTCCAGCAACTCCCATGGCTTCAGGACGCAGATGGTCATGACCCCTGGGTCAGCACGACATCAGGCCTGTGGACGGGGCCTCCTCTTTCCCCACGCCTCATAATTGGATTTTAAATGTGGTTTTCTCAGGGCAAAACCCACATGGGACTCACAGGGCACTGTCCTGTCACCGAAGCCCCTTTCTATTGATAAGCCCGCCCCCCAACTGTCACCACGTGTCTGCTCCAGGGCGAGCTCAGGGGGTGAGGGAGCTCACGGATGGCTTTCTCCAGCTCTGGATGGCTCGTCGGACCTGATGGGTTTGAGGTCAAGTCTTTGGGCAAACACGCTTCAGGGGAGGAAACTGTGTGTCCTATTGCACCATGGAGGACAGCACCCGGTGCCACGTGTCCTTGTGAGAACCTGACTGGTGGGTGGTGCTCGCCAAGCTCCCAGCACCTCTCTCAGCAGCCACGGGTGACATCTGCTAGGCCAGGGGTCAGCAAAGTGGCGGAGAGCAGCTGTGGCGGAGAGCCAGCCCCCTGGTTTTGTAAATAAAGCTTTATTGGCGCCCGGCCCTGCTCCTCTGTTCAGGGACCATGTGTGTCTCTTTGGTGGTCCAGTGGCTAGACCCTCAGGTCTCCCCTAATTCCTGCCCTAATTCCCAGAACTGTGGAACCACAAGGTGTCCTGGGGAGGTGTCCCCACGGCTGGAGCGGAGGGGACATGTGGAAGGCGCTGACAGCCCGCGGGAAACGGGACCCTCAGTGCTGCAGCCACCAGGCACTGAAAGCTGGGGACAACCTGGACGGGCTCGGTGGACCCCCCAGCCCACCCCGGAGCCCACAGCAGTGAGGCCTTCGAACCTGTGAAGAATTTTTGTGAGTTTATTTGACCCAAATTGTCGACAATTCCCGGGGAGCAAAACTTTCTCAATGGACTGAGAAAACGCTCCGGAGAAGGGCAGGTCTGCACCCTGTTTGATGCGTTACGATCAAGAGGAGACGCAAGTGGGTGCCGTGAAATCCACGGGTGACAGGTTGGGAGGGGGAGAAAGCGAAGCGGGGAAACCTGGGACCGGAGGTGGGCGCAGGAGAGTTAACAGCCAACAATTAATAACAACAAGGGGATGTGTGGCCTCCGCAGAGCGCGGCCTGTGCCCTGAGGGATCCGGAAAGTGGGAAATTACTCTGACATTCCAGCAATATGTTATCGTAGATGCTAAAGACGATAACAGGCTCGGTTCAGGTGAACACCGACCTTTGTCAGGGAAGGTCCCGGCCTAGGACAGGGCTGCCCGGTGCTGCTCTCAGGGACCGACCTGCGCGCTGTAGGGCGTCCACCTGCCGCCTGCCCCTCACCGGCTGATGCCAGGGGCCCGTCACAGGATCAGGAGTGTCTCTGGACCTCGCTGGCTGCCTGTCCTCCGGGGACGGTCACCCCCCGCTGAGAACCGCTGCCCCAGAGCCACCATGTCACCGGGCTTAAAAAACGGCCATTTCCCAAATCCAGCCTTTCGTCAGCTTTTATTTCTAAGAATTCTTCTCACTTCCCCACAGCACAGATTCGGAACAAGGGAAAAGCTGACTGTCTCAAATATATATATATATATCTATCTCATCATGAACTCACGAAATCACACATTCGTCCGAATACAGTTCCTGTGTGCAGTGATTTCCCACAGCTGGGTGACAGTCATCAGACGCTTCGAGGCTTAAAAGCCCCCGAGACACGACCCTGCATTTCCGTGGGGCAGGCGTCGGGGTGGCTCGGCCGGGCCGAGCTCAGGGGATGCGGGCTGTGTCCCTGCCTGGACGCCAACACCGGAGAAGGTCCGGGCTGGTCGTTGGCAGAGCTCGTGGCCATGCGGCCCCAAAGCGCGCGGTCTCCCGCTCCCTCGAGGCCGGCGCCGGAGCAAACATCTGTATCGCAGCCCTGGCCAGTTTGGCTCCGCGGTGAGGGCGTCGGCTGCGGACCAGAGGGCCGCAGGTTCACTTCTCAGTCAAGGGCATGTACCTCCGCCGCCCCACCTGAGAAGGGCCTGCCCGAAGGCCACGTCCACCAGGAAGCCCTCCTGGACTAAGCCAAAGTCTGCTGATGAGGGACCTCAATTACCTTTGGATGCTACCGTGACCTCTGCCCTATTGGTTAGAAGCGAGTCACAGGGCCACCCACTCGGAGGGAAGGACGTGGGTTGTGTAACAGGTGACTCACAGGGGCCACTTCGGGCGTGTCCGCCACAGTGCACCTCACGTCACAGCACTTATCCGAACTGGTGACCATGTCGTCACGTCTCTGACCTTGATGGGAGCATGTGCAAGGTGACTCGTGTGTCCTGCTGACGCGACGCCCCGTCTGGGGTAGTTCCCGTGCGCTCAGACAGGGCCGGGGTGCCAGGCTCGGTGCGCCCGGTCCTCGGCCCGCCTGCGTTCCAGGGCCCCCGGCTTCCTGCCAGAGGGGCCTCGGTGGCGCTCGGAGATCCCGATGGACGCCAGCCTGCTCACGGCAGCCGGTCAGCTCGTTGCCTCCCGTTCTTTTCAGTGGACAGAATTAGGAAATTTATATTTTTCCAAATGTCTATTGTGGTAAAATACACATAAGGAAATTTCCCGTCTTAGCCACCTTAAGTGCACAGCTCAGTGGCACGAAGCACATTCACACTGTTGTGTGGCCGTCACCACCGTCATCTCCAGAGCTTCCCATCTTCCCAAAGGAACACTGTCCCCACTGAACACGGACCCCCCTCCCCTCCCCCAGCCCCTGGCACCACCGTCTACTTTCTGTCTCTGTGGATCTGACTCCTTCGGGGACCTCCCAGGGGTGGGGTCACGGGATGTGTCCTTCTGTGCCTGGCTTAGAAAACAGATATTTATAAAAATAAGTATATCCTGGAGCCACACCGCTACTTCCAATCTGGGCGCAGGATTTCACATGGCTTTCTGTCTTGCTAGATTGGTGCAGGGGCTGGATTAGGGTGCGTTATACGCGGGCTCAGGGTCCCCCTCTGGCGGCTCTCTCTGAGCTGGGGTTTCCTCCTTCACCCCACATTCCACCCCCTGACCCCTGAACCCACGGAGATCCGCACCTTTTGCTGGGTGCAGCTGCTCCTCACAGACTGAGGGCACTCGGGACCCCGCACCCCGCTGTCGGCCCTGACCTTGAGCCCCCATCCTGCTTCTGCCCAGGTGTGGCTGCTCCCTGGCTCCTCTAAAGAGTTTTGAGAAACATTTTGTTCAGAATTAGCACCGTTTTCTGCAGAGAGAGAGGCTGACGCCAGCTGCTTGCAATTTCTGGAACCCGAGCTGTACGGACAATTTACCGAGGCCGTGAACAAGCCTGACCTGAGACTCCCGTGGCCCCTGTCCCGACGACGGGAGAGCGACCTCCTCAGGCCACTTCCGTGACCCCGACTCCCATGCACGTCCACAGGTAAGTCTACATTTCAGGGCCTCCGTGTCCCCCCGGCCCCAGTCCCTGGCCGTCTGCAAGTCAGAAACCAACAGCAACATAACAACACCTCAAACGCAGTGTGACCAGGAAGGGAGACCTTGTCCTGGGGTCGCAGAATCGCTCACAATGGGAATGAGGCAGAATTCAGAACCAGGCAAGTTAGGAAATGGAAAACACTGGAGGTCAGAGGCACAGCAGTGCTGCTGGGAAAGGCAGGCGCTCTCCTGGAGGACAGACAGAGGTCGATGGGGTGACCGCCAAGGGCAGGACGTCGGAGGTGACCACCGAAGGCCGGGAGGAAGGGGCTCAGTCTACAGTGAAAAGCAGACAGATCAGATGCGTCCACAATTTCAAAATAAATGTCCCTCCAGCCGGTAGCTCAGCTGGATAGAGCATCGTCCCAGTAGGCCAAGGTTGCAGGTCTGACCCCTCAGCAGGGCACATACAAGAATCAACCAATGACATATAAATAAGTGGAGCCACATATCGATGTTTCTCTCTCTCCCTTCCTCTCAACTTTAAAATTTTTCAAATGATGCAAGAGCCAAGGCCACTGTGAGCCCCGTCGTTTGAAACTATGTTTGAAATGAACAGATAGGCTGCCTGGAGAGGAAGGGGAACTTGAAGGATACAGGGACAGAGTTACAATGTAACAGGGGAGACTGGGGGGCTCCTCCCTCTGTGAATGGGTTTGAAGGAGAATCTGAAGGATACAGGGACAGAGTTACAATGTAACAGGTGTGGGGGAGACTGGGGGGGCTCCTCCCTCTGTGAATGGGTTTGAAGGAGAATCTGAAGGATACAGGGACAGTTACAATGTAACAGGTGCAGGGAGACTTGGGGGGGGGCTCCTCCCTCTATGAATGGGTTTGAAGGAGAACCTGAAGGATACAGGGACAGAGTTACAATGTAACAGGGGAGACTGGGGGGCTCCTTCCTCTGTGAATGGGTTTGAAGGAGAATCTGAAGGATACAGGGACAGAGTTACAATGTAACAGGTGTGGGGGAGACTGGGGGGGCTCCTCCCTCTGTGAATGGGTTTGAAGGAGAATCTGAAGGATACAGGGACAGTTACAATGTAACAGGTGCAGG